ATGGTCAGTCTACTCAGTATATTGATTATTGACTGCATGTTTTCATATGTTTGTCACACTGAGCGTAGACAGTAAATATCCATCCTGAGAGTGGTCGTCTGGCACCAGAGGAGAGTGTTCTCTGCATCCTGACAATACAGGATTCAGGCAGCCCCACTTTCTATCAGCAAGACCTCATCTGTGAGGTGACAAATACAAAGATGCACCAATGAACACGTGCACATAGAAACACATAGTTTTCTATTTGAATATATTATAAAATGTAATGTATTCCTGTGATGGTAAAGCTGAATTTTCAGCAGCTGTCACATGATCCTTCAGAAATCATTCTAATATGCTGATTTGGTGTTGATTTAAGAAACGTATTATGATCAATGTTGAACACTGTTCTGCTGCTTAATATTTTTGTGGAAACAATGGGACATTTTTTTTCCAGAATACACCGACTAGAAAGTTCAAAAGAACAGTATTTATTTGAAATTGAAATATTGGAAACACCTAAATGGTTGATGCTGTCTTTGTTAGATAACTCTTGTAAAGAAGCTTGCACAGTATCACAAAGACCTTCGACAGTGGGAGGAAGAGACAGAAAGACAGAAATATGAGTTTACTATCACTGAGAAAGACCTGGTACAGACAAACCAACTGGATAAATGCTCTCAGGTCAGAAAGACACATTTTAGACTTTAACGTTGACAGTTATCCTTTCACATTTTATTCACTGCATCAAAACATAATAAAAAAAAACGAATTGCCTTCCTCAGGAAGGTGCAGTGTTTGAACAGAAAACTGGCACAAGAAAATACAAGGTAACTACACCCGAAAAATGACAAATGAGTCTTGTTTACAAGTTATAATGTAACACATTGAGTCAGCTGAAGCAGTGTTTATGTGTACATTGTATTTATAAGTGAGAGACCAATATTTTGTTCCTCATGTGGCAGACTCTTCCACCCATTCGTAGCAGTGAACAAGCTGAAAGCAGTTCCTCAGTGAGACCCAGTCGGGCTGAACAGCGGGCTCAGCAGCAGACAGGCCAGGAAAGGAGAAGACGTCCCGAACCTCCTCGTCCTGCAATACTGCACTTAGGTGTCACTGCACGCTCTCACAGCCTCATGGATTATCAGACACATTTCCCCACTCAGTTCAACACTCATTACATCAACAGGTACAACTGGGTGCAAAACTTTTTTTAAGGATTAAAAATGAATAACAAGTCTGACATGATGATGGTTATTTTAATCATATTTCTTTCAGGTCTAGGCAACCCAAGCTTTTTCAATCTGGGACAGGTGAGAGCTGCCATTGTCCTGCAGACCTGCCCCCACTTACTCTGGGTCCTGAGAGAGATGTCATCACACACATGCTCACCTCTTTACTACAGTATGACTTACATTGTTTTATTAATACAACTCTGTTCAAAAGTTTGGGGTCAGTAATTGTTTTGTTTGTTTCTTTGTTTTAAATTAATACTTTCATTGAGAAAGATGCATTAACTTTTGATGCATTGATCAAAAGTGACAGTAAAGATATTTATAATGTTACAGAAGATTGTATTTCAAATAAACGCTGAAAGATTCCTGAAAGAACCATGAAAAAAGCATGTTTTCCACAAAAATATTAAGCTGCAAAACTGTTCTCAACACTAATAATTAATCAGCATATTAGAATGATTTATTAAGTATCATGTGACACTGAAGACTGCAGTAATGATGCTGAAAATTCAGTTTTGCTATCACAGGAATAAATTACGTTTTAAAATATATTAAAAGGATTTCAAATTGTAATAATATTTCACAATATTGCCATTTGTACTATACTTTTGGTCAAGTAAATGCAGTCTAAGAGACTTCTTTGAGAAACATAACTTCTAAATGGTCGCATATGTTTTGGCAGCTCTTCTGACTTATTCTGTCCTATTATTTATTTATTCTGTCTATAAATAAAGATGACTTGACTTATTAAATGGAACAACTATCATTCAGTAGGAGGTCACACTGGTTTTTTATTATGTGTTCTCTCCTACAGGAGTCTCCTAGATGAGCCTCAGTTCCAGCAGTCTCTGGTAGAGGGCGACAATGAGAAGGTGCCATACTTCACACAGCTGCGGCCTGCTCCTGCGCTCCCCACACAAACACAACCCCGCTCTGCTACAGGCAACCAGAGTCCTGTAGAAATGTCCAGTGTGTCCAGTGTCAGTCCAGCAGAGACTTACACAGGAAACTGTAGCACTGCAGACAGACCCAAGAGTGAGTGTGTCCAGGAGTCTCTGAAAGAAGTCCAGGAGGAGATAAAAATGAAGGTCCAGGAGTCCATTCGCAGGTGTGCTATGACACTAGAAAGAGACAATTCAGTCACAAATGAAATGTTGCCATTTAAACAACTTATCTTCATTCTCTCATTCTTTTCTGCAGGTTTCCTGAGTTTAGTGACCTAGTGGAGGACATTTTGCACAATACCTTGCAGAACCTAATGATGGAGGCTTTCTTGGGTGAGCTGGTGCTGACGACACGACCACGAATCATCGCTCTTCCACCTTCATCTTCCAGGTCACATCTACCTTTTATGTTAATCTCACTCTATCTGTATTAGTTTTTTTTTTTTTTTACATGCATTTTTTAATAAGAAATGCACCCAAGTGGCATTGACTCTTGTTGTCTGATTAGCTGAAGTGGTATTAGCCAAGACTTTACTTTCTCATTTTATGTACGTGTAGGAAAAACAGCCTTGGCTCCAACAGACAGTCCAGGGCCGAATCGAATAACAACAGGGAGCAGATGCGCCCCCTAGTGACCAGCCCAAGCCCCTACATGTCTACTCAAGCCATAGTCTCAAACCTGGAGCCTGAGCAGCAATGAGCCATTCTGCACTAGTAACTTAACACTCAGTATCTGTATGACATGTTTGAGACTGATTCGTATTAAACCGTTTTTAAAAATGACACACCTTGGTGTAAAGTCTCTGAATCTGTCCAATCACCAACAGCTGGATCTTCCAGGCACTGACGCAAAACACATTGTTTTGGTTCTAAAAGGTTCTGTGGAATGTTAAACGTCTGATAGTTCTTTGAATTGTGAAGCAATTTAGTTAGAAAGAAAGTTCCCAGATGTGGGTCACATGAAGTACAGTAGCCATTTCTACATATAAATATGAATGTATCCATTTAAAATAAGGCAGCTCCAGATGTAGTGTTTCTGTTTTATTTGTGATGACTGTCTTGATTTTGGTTAGTTCCAAGGGCATTTAAACAGTGCAGTCACATGGCAAGAGTCACTCATTATCAAGTTAAGGACACCGCCTGTGAAAAATAACTTTGGCAGCACAAATTTCTGTCCTAGTGCATGGAGGATGTTGGCTCTACTATAAGGAACAATAATAATAACTATGAGTATGATGTACTGAATTTTAGCTCATTTTAAGGGAAAACCTCCATCTCCATTTGTTGCTCTAAATGGGTGTCTTTTATTCTGGCTGCTGTCCTATTCATGAAACTACTGAGGAGAAAGATTGTATATTAAGGTAAGCGACAACATTTTTTCTTGTATAGATTATATATATAAAGACAATTGTATTATGAAAAAAGATAATAAATAACAATATTAATAGTCTAAAGCAGGGGTGGCGAACGTCGGTCCTGGAGAGCCGCAGCCCTGCAGAGTTTTGGTTCAACCCTAATCAAACAAACCTGAACAAGCTAATCAAGGTCTGAAGGGTTACTAGAAAGCTACAGGCAGGTGAGTTTTTATTAGGGTTAGAGCTGAACTCTGCAGGGCTGTGGCTCTCCAACACCAGAGTTCGCCACACCTGGTCTAAAGTCTAAATAATAAAGTCTCTAAATACAGTGTTGCCTCCACAAGGTCCAGTGGCAGTGAGACAGCCATGGCTCGTGAGCTGCAGGACAGCAGATCTGGACCTGAGAAGGAGGGGAGGACCTGGAGCAGTACTCAAACCTCCATCTCCACTACTGAGGGGGAATCAGATGCTGAATTACATGCATTCATCAAGATGAGGAACAAAGTGGACAAAGATACTGAGGTGAAGAACAAATACACATGCACTCTGAGATACAAGCAAGGACTGCGAAAACGAATACAAAACTAAGCAAGTGAATATATTTTACAACAGTTATTTAAGTTCATTCTTAATTATCCAGACAGGAGTCGTCTCTACCCACAATACACAGTTATCATACACATCAGTCTAGCGTGTTTTCATAGAAAACCAATGGAAAAGTAGTGCATTGGAATGGAAAATTGTGTTCTGTGTGACCCTTATGCAGTTATGCCTGAACCAACACAAAATCCATAAGTTCTTCCATACCTTCTGCTCTCTGCTTTAGAGCAGATGTGACTTTGACTGACTTTTTTGTATTGGATTTTGGCTACGAGTAAATACGTCGGAATTTAGGCCGATGTAATTTGCCAATTTTCTTAAATTGAATTCAGCGGAACTGTACCAGAAAGACAAGTGATGGAACGGTTCATTTCAGACACAACCCTAAGGTGAGGTGAGGACACCGATCTGGTGCATCACATTTGAATCATTTTAACTGTAAACCACAGTCACATGATCAGAGCAGAAATTCTTGCTCAGTATTAATCTTTGGTCCTGTTTGTTTAAATAAAATGCAATGCGATTCTAACAACCTTATCTTGTTGATGTTTCCTGTATGTCAGTGTCCACTTCATACAGTAGCTTTAACTTTTCTCATGTTTGTCAGGCTGTGGACAGCTGGAAGAGCACATGGTCTATAATGCACTTACGAACTTGTTAGAGTCAATCGACGGTAACCCAATAGTGATGTTCTGCCACGCAACCTATGCCTCCATCCACAAAGCTCTTCAAAGCTTTCTTTCTTTCTTGCTCTTTGACCACACTTCCACTGTTTGTGTGTGTGTGTACTTGTTTATGCTACATTGTGGGGACCGGCCTGCGGTCCCCACGAGGGAAAAAAATTATTAAAAATAGTAAATGATGTTTATCTGAAAGGAGAAACTGAACTATGATATCCACACTCTGAGGTGTGCTCGTAAAGATGTTTGTATACGCTGGAAGAAGATCTTGCTTCAGCTGGGTGAGGTGGACTATAACTATTTTTACATTTATTATTTTTATAATTATTGTATAAATGTATTATTTATGTTTATATTATCGTTGTATGTTTTATTTATATACACTAGCCTATGTTTAAAATATTAAGTCAGGAAGTATTTTTTTTTAAACTTTTTTAGTAATTTTACTTTTATTTAGCAAGGTTGCATTAAATTGATCCAGAGTAACAGTAAATACATTTATAATTTTATAAAAGATTTCTGTAAAAAAAAAAAATATTTTTATATATCAAAGAATCCTGAAAAATATAAGTTTCCGCAAAAATATTCAGTAGCACAACTAAGAAATGTTTATAAATTTAAATGTTTCTTAAGCAGCAAATCAGCATATTAGAATAATTTCTGAAGGATCATGTGACAGTGATGACTGAAGCTTGACCATCACAATAAAATTACATTTTAAAATATATCAAATTAGAAAAACTTAACTGAACTTGTAATAATATTTCTTACCGCCTTACTGCCCCAAACTTCTGAATGATAGTGTATTTATTTTTACATATTTTTTTTTAATTTATACTATATTTGTCTTCTATTTTTTCATATATATCTGTCTTGCTGAATTGTATTTTTTCTTCCTTTTCCAGCTCTTGTGAGGGCTTACAAGAACAATGCTCATTATGTCTATAAAAATGTCAATTATTTATGCTTAAATCTACTGTACAATGCAGGATGCCAGTTAACATAATAGTAATAGCATACCAAGTCAAATGTGACCCTTATTTGCCAATCTAATGGCAGTGGAGTGTGAGCATGTCTTTGTGTCTGAAGAAGTGCAGTCATGTCAATGTATATGTTGTTGATCCAGGTTACCAGAAGGAGGCAGACTCCTTACTGACAGTGAACAGACAGACGGTTCTGAGTGACTGGGAGAATGTGGAGAAAGCCAGAGAACTTCTGCGAATTGTGTCAGAGGAGACAGGCCTCTTCCCCCGTGGACTCAGCAACAGTGAAAGATACATCTTTGTCATGGTAAATAAATGTCAGCATCATAAATGACAGTCCTCAGTCCTACAGCCTCGATACTTTACTGTATGTGTACATTAAAGGGACTTATCATGATAAACGTGTAATGTAAAAAGTAGAGTTTTCTACATGATTATATTTTACTTAATCAAGGATGTGCCACTTTTACAAGCAGCTTGGTGGAGCTGAAGGACTTTTGGAATAATGAGCATTTTAATTGTTATGATCATTTCCTAGGATCGACTGGTGTCTCTGGACAGTGCTGAAGACTTTGTGCGGCTGGCCAAAGAGAAATATCCAAGAATTGAGTCTTGAGATGTAAAGGAACTTCTAAGTTTGGACTCGTTTGCTCTCTTTGATGCTTCTTCTGCAACTGTTTTTTTAATCAATAAATTCATTGTTGTTTTGTCCTGAGGAATAGAGACTAATGACATTATCTTCGGAAATTCAGAAAGATACCAGCAAGTAAGAAAAATATGATGTATACATCTAGAACAAGAGTCACTTTTGAAAATACTTCATATTCCCTTAATTCTTCCACTTTTTAACAGTAATCCAGTTTAATTCACTAATTTAAATGTTATTTACATTCTTTTGTTTCTCTTTTGTAAGTCACTTTGGATAAGTGTCAGTGCATAAATGTAAAATGTAAGTGTAAACGGATACAATACACATATTCATTTATTTATTGGTATTCATTATTCAGATTACAGTATACTGTAGTGTCAAAGGGCCTGGCGCGGGAGAGGGGCCCGGAACGCGATTTCTACCGAGGGGGACCAAACGCGCCATTCCTGCCAAGGGGGGGGCCCCGAGTCAACATGCTGTTCAGGAGGCCCAGTAACTGTAGCGGTGCCCCTGGGTAAGCGCATTAATTGTGGTGTAGACACTCTCTAAATCTCACTAGTATCACTGTTATTTACATAAAACTCAAGAGACTTTTATGCTGGTCCCCGTAGATAGACGGCAGTCTAAACGATTCCGAAATAAGAATTACTGAATGCACTTTTAATAAATAATATAATTTAATCTCAATAATTTAATCTAACTTAACCTACAGGTTTTACTTTATTCTCAGTTAGCCTACATGTTAATGTGAATAGAATATCCCCTTTTGTGATTTGATGTACTTCGTCAGATTAGCCAGAAGAGGTCAGTCTAACCTATTTGAAAGTACTGTTTTTTTCCCTCTTAGCAGTAGTCCAGCATGAGCTCACTAAACACCTAAAGACATGACATCCCATGATGAAGATTGACTACAGTGTATTTCGTAACTCTCTGCTTGATGCCATGCATGTCTGTTTAATATCAGATAATAAGTGAGTGTGGTCATAGTTTCAGCTGTGCACGTTGACCTATATATTGTTGTCTCCTGGGCCTGATCTCAGGGGCCAGAAACAGATGTGGAGCAGAGAAAGAGAGAGAGAGTTTGAGAAAGCAGTGTAAGGAGGAGGACAGGGCGTTATTATAAATCTTCTGAGTTTTCAAGCTTGGCTCTCTCTTATTGCTGAGGGCCAACAGAAACACCTTGTTCTTATTATATATGTGTGTGTGTGTGTGTCTGATCATGTCAGTGTGATAGTCCTGGCTTTGTTGTCACGTCCCTCTAGCAATTGCTGGAAATATTGATCCATGACCAAAGAAAGGACAGGGTCCAACTCTCTACAGTTTACATCATCTCGGGGTCTGTCTATGAAAGGTCTATCTGTCTATCTGCCCCCATTCACCTCGCAGACGGAGGAAAATAGGAGCATTTTATCTTTATGAAGGATATGTGATTGTATTTCATAATGACTATAATTACCGCTTGAGTCCAACTTCATATCAGCTCTACAACTGGGTCAGAGTAGAGTCCTATCATATAGCAGAGTGTCTGTCCTTTTTTCTTTTCTTTCTTCAGTCATTTCCCACTCTTTCATTCACTCTTTATTAAAGGGGTCATATGATGCGATTTCAAGTTTTCCTTTCTCTTTGGAGTGTTATCCCTTTCAACTCCTGCCACCCTTTCTTTAGTGCTTTCTACTTCTCTTTCCACTATCTCCAGCTGTGTTGATCAAGTTACTACGGCTGTATCTTCGAGTTGCACAAGAAATCGTATACTTTTTCCAGTTGTCTAGATCCGGTTGGATTTAATACATGCCAACAGATCAAATTTTTTGAAATTTGACGTTTTCATTTGTTTTTAATTTCAGTTTCTGTTATTTTAGAAGTACAACTTAAAGTGATTTCAGTTAGTTGCCAAGGCAACATTTGTAATTTTTGTTTTTCTAGTTTTTAGAAATTTTAATTTATTATTTATATTTTATTTATTCAGCTTTATTTTAATTAATGAAAATTTGTTTAAATCTTCTTAGTTTTTGTTTTAGCCAACTCTTTATTACTTTAAGTCTTTATTTTCTATTTGGAAAATGAAAAGAAATTACCAACTGATTTGAAAAAAAAGAAAGGAAAAGGAGAAAAAAAATTTTTTGCACATAAAATAAAGAAAAATATTTTAAAAGTTTAAAATATTGAACCTTCAATTGAACAGTTAAGTGATGCATATGTTATGCAGCAACAACCCAGTCTCATTGAAATTATGCTGAATTATTGCAAAAATGAAATAACTTTCAGGGCGAATGCAGTAAGTTTGATTATGTTTCACTTCATTACTGGTCCTAAAATTAGACTCGACAAAGACAGCCATAATGGAGTGTATGCATCTCTGGCCTTAGATTTTGACATTACCCCATTCCCGCATCTCACACACCACAGGGCATGACCTATGTGTGTTATTTGCTGAAGCATGTAGCATATACTAACATCAAAACCATGTCTAGTCTCACCGACTAACTCTGGGAAACTTTATTTACTTACAGGAAACCAAAATGTTCCATTACTAACATAGTTTACCACAGTCTCAACACTCCTTATTATGTCCAGTACTAAAAACAGTGCCTGATTGATCTAATGATCATACTGAAACTGAAATACTGAACAGTGAAAAATTCTGTCATGTACAGGCAATGTCAAATCTCCCAATTATGGCAGAAGCACCTACAATCAACAGCAAAGCCTTAACATCATTTGTTTGTTAATGCCACTTAGTTTGATATTATGTATAACACCACACGATTCATACATTTTTAAGTATGACTTAGGTATCCTGTCCAAAAGTATTAAAATATTTTTGTGGCCACTTTATATGTGTATAATACCAATATGTGCCTATGCAAGTGCGTTTAACAGATGATGGGGGATGTGAGAATGGTTTTCTCATCATAAGAACATTTGGCAAAGAGAGCGGCCAGACCTGTCTCGCTCTCTGCTCCGCTACCCTGTGAGGTAAATAGACCTGGAACCAGACATCTCTCCCTTTTCCCAATAATATGGCTCTCAGAGATCAACTAGAGTGGTATAGTAGGTTAGTTAACAACGCAAGTAGAAAATACAGAACTTTCAGATGAGCAGACAGAGCAGGAACCACTGAGCAGCTGAACCCTAATGAAATGATTTAGTGGGACAATTAAAAGTAATTTTCCCACTATTAGGCCTAATTTTCCATTTTGTATTTTAGTAACTAGTTGCATCAATGTCTAATGATTTGATGATTTTCTTTTAAAAAATTTGTAATGAATATGAGCTTCTTTTTCTTCTTGCCAACACTTCGTTTCTTATTTTTTGCACATTAAAGTTTTGTTTTATATTTTAGAATATATACCATATCTTTAATTTCAGGTTTGTGTTGAACATTTACATTGTGGGTTTTAGTGATGCATAGGTAATTCTAAGTTTAAATCTAAACTATTGTTATCATTTTATTACCAATGAAATGTCAGAAAACACAACAGTAGAGTATGAGGTTCCTCAAGGCTCTGTTTTAAGACCAGTGCTGTTTTCCTGTACATTTGAGAAATTAGTAAAAAAGAAACCAAGTTTCAAACATCTGTATCTCATCCCATATGGATAACTGTGCTGTACTAAGACACCATGCCTTTGTGTCCTCATTTGTTTGGTATTTTATAAACATATTACCATAACTGTGAGACAACTTAAATGAATAAAACTCTATATAGATGTGACTAGAGTGTGCAGTGGAGAGAGAGATGCATACTGCCCAGAGCTTTCCTTAGGTTGCCATATATTTGCTCTTTCACTGTATCTACTATTTTCTTTTTCTTTCTTTTTTTCATGTTGAATTTGGTTCTAAAGGAGAATAAGAATTTAATATATGATCCTTGCTTCTGCTCTGAGGGGACTATACCATGTTTCCTTATCGAGGGAATGCAGCCTGTGGCTTAAAGCCATCAATGATTGGACAATGGCCTCTTATTGGCTAACATATGTGGTGCAGTTAAATAAATGGTTGTCAGTCCTTTTGAAAGAACAGCACAGCTTCTTTACTGTCCTCCTCGTGAGGCCCCAGCATAGCACAGCTCTCTATTCTCATTAAATAACAGAAAAATTAAAATTTTGCATCACAGTGAAAAAAGGAACATGTAGCCCCAGGCATGTTGGATAACATACTTCTTCAGAATGCAAAAGGTGAAAGGTTACTGTAGGTAAGTAAAAATGCAGCTTATCACATGTGTAGACTAAGTCATTCCAAATACAGCTTATTTTCCCCAGTCTGCTGTCTTTAATGAACTCTTAATGTCACTTCTATTGTCTTTGAAATACAGTTAAAGTGTACTTTGTAATGTAGCATTATAATGCAAGCATTCATAGTAACCTAAATATAATTTATTGTAATTTATGTTGAAACTTTTGTAATGCATTTAAATATATTTGTAATTACATATTTATTATGCTTTAAAAGCATAACAAAAATGATTATTAAAATAATAATGTAGTGCTTTAGTGTTTACAACAATTACTTTTTCACACACAGCTTTACATTTGAAGGGTATGATACTTGACAGTAATGCACTCCAATGGCCCAGTCCATTGTCATCGCATAGACATTTGTTTGAAGGTATTTTGTCTGGGGACATAAATCATGTTAAATCTGCAATCTGCTTTGCTGTTTCCTTCCTAAACAACACAAGGGTCAGGTCACCAGACTGAGGTAGGATAACCCTAAACTTTAAATCAATCCAGTTGACTCCTGAGCTGTGTCCTTATCTATAGCCTTGCTCTACTCTGCTTTATCTCACAGCGAAACACTCCACAACCTAACCTGACCTCTTTGGCCAAGTCTGCATGCTCACACTACCCCCTCAAGAAACGTTAGACTTATTTGGGTCAGTTGACGTAGTCCACAAATGAAACCCATTATGCGCTGTTCCCGTGAGACGGGACCATATTGAATCTGAAATTTTGCACGTAAGCACACTGGCATTGAGTCGTCCAGTGTTTTTCGTTTTTGATGCTATTCACTGATTTAAACAGTTTGGTTTAAGCAGCTTTGAGGGGTGACAC